CATAGGGCGGGAATCCACGGAAGCAGGGCGGAAACAGCACCAGAAAAGTTCGGTGGAAATTGGCATCAGCGGGGCCTGAAAAGTAAGGCGGAAATTCCAAGCCCTATTTACGAATTTCCCCAAAGTAGGGCGGATCCGGAGTCAGGGTTGAGTCGGGCGTGTCCCTCTACAGGAGGAAGACTCAAAGATATCAAAACCATAAAAAAAACTGTCTGGGGACGCCTTTCCCACTGGCGCTGGCCACTTCGGAGCACGTTTTGCCCATTTTCAGTTTCTCGTCCAAAATCGGCCTGTAGGGGGACATGCCCGACCTGATTCTGGGGTTCAGCCGGGTCGCTGGAAGCGCGGCCTGCCCAGCATCACCCGCATGCGACAATCTCGTCCTGCCTTGGTCTCCATGGGACTGGGCGGCCTCTGGCTCGCTCGAGAGCTGACTAGCCTGCCCGCCGCCCCTCCTCTGCCTCCGCCAGATTTCGCCCGTGCCTTCGGGGAGGCGGCCATCACCGCGCGGCGGCAGAGGGGCGTGAGGAGAGCCGGGGTTGTGGTTCGAGGCGCCTGTCTCAGGCGATCGCAGCCATGGATGAATGGGGGCGTGGATCAGCGACGGGTCCCGCTTCCAGGGGGAATCGCGGATGTCCGCCGCCGAGCGAGGCGGCAGCTGCCGCATTATAGGGGGGGGGGGGGGGGACACCACCCCCCCCCCGATCCATGGATTTGGCGACCGCGCGGCAAATCCGTGGATCGCTAATCCATGTTTGCGCGCCCCCGACTGTCGAGTGTGTCCGAACGACTCTCTTCGACGCCTGTCGTTGGCGCAGGTCTTGGATAATGCGCGTGGGCGCTGGCCCGCGGAGCGGGAGCCGCGGCGGGGTCCCTTTTCGGGAGACTCGCCCGCACGTGCGGCACTGCGGGATGTCGTGGAGCCGCCAGGGGGCAGGAAGAGGGACGGGAGGAGGATGAGGCCTCTTCGTCGTCTACTGGGGCCCTCCTGGGGCTTCCTGTTGGCTTCCTGCGGACGCCTTTGGCCCGTCAGATGCCCTCGGAGGCCGCATTTGAGACCTCACTGGGCCGTTCTGGGGCCTGGGACGATGGAGGGAATCGATACCGAAGTCTCTTGGGCCGTGCTGGGGCCCTTTGGCGGCCGTCTTTGGGGCAAGCGACCTTCTTGGGCCTTCTTGGGGCCCTTTTCGGTTGTATGCGGGCCATGTTGGGAGCCTGGGGCCGCCTTGATGTCATGCTGGAGGCCGCCTGGGGCGCCCAGGGCCCGAAGAGGCGGAAACGCCGCATCACTCGACCACCTCAAGCGCATCGGTTGATTTGGGCTTCGCGGGACCCTCTTTGAGAGCCTCCTGGAGCCCTCTTGGGCCGCCAGGGGGTGCCGCTTGAGGCGTCTCGAGGGCATCTCTCGGGCCGTCCGAGGGCCCCCTCGGGCCGACTCGCGGCCGCCCGGAGGCCGTCTCTCTCTCTCTCGACGCTTCGCACACATCCCCTTCCAGCCCATGCCGAAACAGTGCCCAGAGGAGTCTGGGAGAAGGGGGAGTACATCAGCGTCTAGTGCAACGGGGAGGTCGGCAGCAGCGAACGCAGAGACGCCCTGGAGCCTCAACGCGCACCTCCCCGTCTCCGCTGTGGAAGGGGCCCCACCGGAAGCTCGAGGGCCAGGGCCTGGCGTGCGTTCTCTTGACAACTTGTGCTGAACCCTGCCCTCGCACCCCGTGCTCCTTCCCCGCATTGCGAACTGCCAGAGCAGAACGTGTGGGACAGGGCATGCTGTTTTGCGCCCGGTTCTCGAGGTTCGTTCGTCGGCAGGACTCACGCTCGCCGCAGGCTGCAGGTTGCTCAGGCAAGATAGTATGTAAGCTCTGGAGCTGGTAAAAGCGCCAGACGCCAGAGACTCTGAATCAGCAGGGGTCGCTCGCCATCGGACGGACAGCCGTCGCGAACCATCACCGAAAGACCAGGCAGGTACGCGACGTGCTCGAGGTGCGCCACGCATGCCCGGCGCGCCACGCGCACCAGGTTCCCCAGGTGACCTGCGGGCCCAAGCGTACAGGGCGCGCCTGAACGCCAGATGCGCCCTGTGCGCCACCTCTGTCACGTGCTCCACCCGCGCTTGGCCGGTCCACGTGCGCGACGCGCACAGAGGCTGCGCCGGTCGGCGACAGATGCGCCAGCGCACGTGTCTCAGGAGGGGAAAAAACACACAGACACAATTAATCCTCCATTCCCCAGAAAATATGGAAAAATATGGGAAGTGGGGGGGAATACAGAAACCCAGAAAATATGAGAAACTATGGGGGATTTCTTTATTTGTGTGTATTTATTTGTGTGTTCCAGTTCCCCTTCAGTGTCAGCGACACCGGGCAACATGCAGAGGGCCTCAGAGTCATGGCAATGGTGCGAGTCGCGATCTCGAAGGCTTCCCCGAGTGCTACCGTTCTGCGCGGGCTCCAAGAAGCGAGGGTCGCCAGATGTCCTGAAGCTCCTCCTCCTCCTCCTCCTCCTATCCTCCTCCTACCCTCCTCCTCCTCCTCCTCCTCCTCCTCCTCCTCCTCCTCACGTCCTTATCCTCCTCTCCTCCTCCATCCTGCCTCCTCCTCTCCTCCCGCCTCCTCCTCCTCCTCCTCCTCCTCCTCCTCCTTCCTCGTTCTATCCTCCTCCTCCTCTCCTATCCTCCTCCTATTTCCTCATATCCTCCTCCTATCCTCCTCCTCCTCGTTCTATCCTCCTCCTCCTCCTCCTCCTCCTCCTCCTCCTCCTCCTCCTCGGTCAACCGCATCCTCGCGCCGTGCTCGCCCTGGGCACGTCGACCCCCCGAGCTCGCCGACCCCCCGGGAGGCAGGGGATGCGGGCTCGCGGCGCGCCCGCCGCCGCGGCCCCGCGACAGGCGCGAGGCAGGCCCGCGGGCCCGCCGCGGTCGCCGCGGTCGCCGCAGGTCGGGCCTGCTCCTCCGCGGGAGGGATCCTTCAAGACCGTCAAGACACAAATCAAACAATTCCCAATCTTTCCCCATATCTTCTGGGTTCTTGTCTTCCCCCCCCCACTTCTCATATTTTCCCATACTTTCCTTGAAATCGACGATTAATCGTGTCTGTTTGTTTTTTCCCCTCCTGAATATAGTCTGGGGACGATGGTTCTGACTATCGTCAGGCATGCTTTGGCATCCCTGGCGTACCGCCGGTGTTTCGCCCGGAATTCCGCCTGTGTGGGGGGGGACGCGCCCGGCCTCACAGCCGCCCCGTTCCTGGCACGAGAGCTGCCGGGCTCCTCCCCGCGGAGGCAGGCGCGGGGGAGTTGAGGGGGGCGGCGAGGCGCAACGCTTGGCCTCCTCCTTGTCGTTCTTTTCCTCCTCGTCCTCCTCCCGCACCCTTCTCCCCCCTCCTTCCTCCGCCGTCCTCCTCATCCGTCCTTTCACGTTCGGCAGACACGAGCGACGAGGCTGTCGCGATCTTCTCTGCCAAAAAATTCTGCAACAGGACAATCGCCGAATTGCAGTCTGAGCGGCGCAGGAGGTGCAACGAGACACAGAAGTGCAGAAGCCCGCGAGGGCATACGGTATTGGATCAGCAGGCGTCAGCAATGTTGCCCCCTCCCACCCCACAACGCCACCACAAACCGATCCCGCCCGTGAAAGGGCTCTCACCGAGGACAGTTCTAGCCCTCACCGAGGGCATCTGGCAATCAACTTCTAAAATGCCGAGGTGCAGCTAGCTTGTACGCCGAATCTGCTGTAGGCTGGCGCAGTCGGTGTTGGCTGGCTTTTGATTGGTCTGGGCAGCATTGTACTGATTAGGCTGGCACCCTGTGCGCTGGCAGGCCTTCCTCCCCCCCCACACGTAGATTCAACTTCACGATCCCCCTCCCCATCAAGGCCCTCGTCGAGGGTCAGTGCTGCTCGCGTTTAGCTGCAATGCGCTCCGAGCTGGTTGCCTCGGGGGCGGCCCTGGTCGAGTCCAGGGTTGCCTCTCCGAGGGCGCTCAACCTCCTGCACTTCCACCCCCGCCTCACGGACCTCCAATGACCTCCACCGTCACCTCCTCCAGGTGATTCAACAGCGCGCGACTGGCCACACTGCGACCTCGCTGCTGGAAATGCGGCTGAAGTGAACGAACGTGCCTTCGACGAGGGTCTGTGCTGAACGTTGCGCGTTCAAACTGGCGCTGGGGAGCGGTGGATCGATGCAGGTGCTTCACCTCCACCTCCTCCAATGCGCCACACACCACCTCCAAGGTGTTGTGCCCTCACCGCGGGTCTTGAAACCGGCAAGAGTGCAAACTGGGCCACCTCGAAGTACGTACCTAGAACTGTGGGAGTGCGATGCAGATGCAACAAACGCGAGGGAAGTGACAGGAAGCACAACGATTTTGTCGTAACCGCGCTGGCAATTGACTCACGGCAAACATTTAGAGTGTTCTAGCGGTTGCCACTAGTAGCAGTGCCTTCCAGACAGCGGCGAGATGGCGTCGTGGCCCGTTGGACCTGAGAGTAAACCATCATCCTCCGCTGCCTTGTCTCTTGGCTGCTCTGTCTGGAGGGCGCCGCAGACCTCCTCCTCCTGCTCCTCCTGCTCCTCCTCCTCATCCTCTTCCCTCGTCCTCTTCCCTCCTCGTCTATCCTCCTCCCCCTCCCCCCGCCCCCGCCCTCCTCATCCTCCTCTTCCCCCACGACGACGCCGACGGCGAAGAATGCCAGGTGCACCGGTTCACGTTCGACAACCGGCGCCTGTATTGCCTCCAGGCCCCCCCGGGCGCGACGAGGGTGGAGCGAGGAGAGAAGAAAGAGCAGATCGAGAGTAGAGGGTGGCCAGTAGGGAGTGGAGTGCGTAAGAGCAGAGAGCATCGAGCTTGTAGGTAGAGGGTTAGACAGCAGGGGTCAACTCCAATGTGCACATACAGACGCATCGGAGTACCTAACTTGTGTATGTTAGCGTATCAATGTGGCGCCTTCCAGAAAGGGCTTCGCCTTGCAGGAATCGACGGAGTTATCATGTCTCGTCGGCGGGAGCAGCGGCGGCAGGCGGCGGAGTCCAAACGGGGGCACGTCCGCCGGCGATGGCCAGCGGAAGGCCAGCGGAAGCAAACGTCAGCTCTCGGGAGGTGCAATTTGCAGGAGGGAAAGAAACACACAGACACAATTAATCGGCGATTCCCCGGAAAATATGGGAGAACATGGGAAGTGGGGGGGAAGACAGAAACCCAGAAAACATGGGAAACTATGGGGGATCCTTTTGTTTGTGTGTGTATTCATCTGTGTGTCCCAGGGCCCCTTCAAATTTGCTCTGGACCCAGGGTGTGTCTGCAACGAGAAACGTGACGGTGTCCGAGCAGAGGGAGGCATTGCCTGGGCGGGGCCATGCGGTCCCCGGGCGCGGGGCACGCGCGGTCGTGGGGTTGGGCAGCAGCCGCCGCGAGGCGGAGGGGAAGGAGGTGCAGGGGCGAGGGGAGGGGGGGGGAGGGAGGGAGAAGGGAGGAGGAGAAGATACCAGAGGGGGGGGGGGGGAGGAGGAGGAGAGGGGAGTGAGGCAAAGTGAGAGAGGAGGAGGAGCGGAGGGAGGTAGGAGGAGGAGGAGTAGGAGGAGGAGGATGAGGAGGGAGGAGGATGAGGAGGGAGGAGGGGGTAGAGGGTAGGAGGTAGGAGGGGGAGGAGGAGGAGGGGGAGGAGGAGGAGGAGGAGGAGGAGGAGGAGGAGTAGGAGGAGGAGGAGGAAGAGGAGGAGGAGGAGGAGGAGTTCTGTAGTTCTGGATATTGCGACCGGATCGAGGAAAACGCTTGCTTGAACACGAGATTTCAGCTTCTTGGCTAGCTCAGCTTTGCTTTAAACTTTGGGCAGAATTCCACGAGACATCCGATCGAGGTAATCGTGGCGATTACCCTCAACCAGCTCAACACAGCTTCTCTAGTTATTTGAGCTCCTGAGCTGCATAAAACCAGCAGACTGAACAGAACCAGACATCAAGTCCCGCGTGATGCCTGACCTTCTGGCTCGGATCAAGAAAACCCCGGCAATATGCACCCGCTGCCCGGGGGGGCGGGGTTCAAACACATTCCTGTCAACATTAACTAGGTCAAAACAAGATGAGGTTAGCCAGTCTTTACGCTTAGCTTGTGTGGCTGTGCCCTTGCACCTGTTACACTTACCAGCGTTGTATTCACACAGGATATGCTGAGACGAGAACACTGCCCAAACAGACGGAGCAGGCGGCCTGGGCTGAGCACGGCGGGCTGCTTTCTTACGCAGGCTTCTCTCACGCTCTTGCTCAGTTGCCCAAATCTCCATCGTACTCTGACCAAAAACGCTTTGTGCTCCATGCCGAGAACGCGAGAACGACCATGTTGCGAAACTCTGACCTCATCGGCTCCACGTGCGGCAATGGCGTCAGCCATCGCGTTGCCCGAGACGAGCAGCTTCGGCGCCTCACCCTGCAGCACGTCGCTGGCCTCGATGTGCGAGTGGACGAAGAGCATCGTGCACTGCAGATCTGGATGAGCGGCCAGCTGCTTGCCGATCTTCCACCACAGGTCACTGTCTGGTTCTCAGGTTGCTTATGACGGTGATTGTACCGACCAATGATCGCGCTCTCATTACCCGTCGTGTAGACGATGTGTCCCTGCTGCCACGAAGTGCAAGGACGGAAGCTAGGAGCTCTCCTCATGGAACAGTTTGGCGTGGTCCAGATAAACCCCCCCAGACTCCACGGAACAACTCCATACCTTCGCTGAGATCATGAAAGTTGGCGGGTCCGCATCCAACTCGACGCAGTCTCTGGCCCTTGCTCTCACGGCCGCCGCCGGCATCCCCAAATATGCAGATGGGGCGCTCTGCGTGCCCTCCCCGAAGCATCCAACGAACTCCTCGCCGGTCGTGCTCCAGGACTCGACACACTGCGGGGCCTCAACTGCTGACCATGCTGCTGGGACAACCCTCTCGTCCAGAAGGAGGCGTCGGCCTCTCCTTGAGTATCAGGCCTCTCCCACATACTTCGCAGTCAAACTATGAGTCCCATGCTGAGGAGGGGGAAGAGGAGGGGAGGAGGAGAGGGGGTAGAAGTCGAGGTAGGGGAGGAGGAGGAGGAGGAGGAGGAGGAGAGGGAGGAGGAGGAGGAGGAGGTAGAGGAGGGGCGAGTGGGCTGGGAGAGGGGCGAGGTCGTCGGACTCGGCATTACGCAGCCGTCTGCGCGCCGTCTCACGGAATGCTTCCACCCCGAGGACGACGGGGGGATAACGCTTGGAGTTCCTCCTCCTCCTCCTCCCCCTCCTCCTCCCTCCTCCTCCTCCTCCTCCTCCCCTCCTCCTCCGCCTCCTCCTCCTCCTCCTCCTCTCCTCCTCCTCCTCCTCCTCCCTCCTCCCTCCCTCCCTCCTCCCTCCCTTCCCTCCCTCCCTCCCTCCCTCCCTCCTCCCTCCCTCCTCCCTCCGCTCCGCTCCCAACCTCCTCCCTCCTCCCTCCTCCCTCCTCCATCCGCCCTCCACCCTCCTCCCTCCTCCCTCCTCCCCTCCTCCCTCCCTCCCTCCCTCCTCCCTCCTCCCTCCTCCCTCCTCCCTCCTAGCGCCACCCGTCCCGCCGAAGGGAGGCCCAGCCCTGAGCCCCCGGCGGCCCAGCGCGCGCAACCGAGCGGGCGGCGGACGGCGCGAGGCGCCAGAAACGACAGCGAGGACGATGGTCCTGGCGGAGGACCCAACCACATGCAGTCGTCAGTAACGCAGTTGTGAGTACCTTCTTCGGTTGGGCCCCCTTATGGGGCCACGAACCGTGTGGGGGTTGCGCCGAAACTCGGGTGGAACTGCATGCGAACTTTGCCGCTGGGGCCTTCGGTGGGGCTCCCTAAACCGTTTGAGGGCTGCACCGACATGGGAGTGGAACTGCATGCGACCTTTGCCACTGGGGCCTTCGTTGGGGCTCCCTATGGAGCCACGAACCGTGTGAGGGGTGTGCCGAAATTGGGGTGGAGCTGCATGCGAACTTTGCCACTCGGGCCTCCGGTGGGGCTCCCTATGAGGCCACGAGCTGTGTGAGGGGTGCGCCGACGCGTGAGGCCACGCGGAAGGCAGAGGCAGGGACAGGAGCAGGGAGGAGCAGGCAGCGGGAGGTGAGGAGTGCACGCGGGGCGCTGTCTCGCCAAAACGAGGACCCAACACCACAGGATGGTCGGGCACAGCGAACGGATGGAGGGGCGAGGAAGGAGGGGAAAGCGGAGGGGGGATAGGGAGTTTGGGGGCCGAGGAGGAGCGGGCCGACGCTGCCGGGAGGGGATCCCCCTGGCAATCTGAGCGGGGCTGCTGCGCTCGCTCGCCGTTGTTGCGCCGGTGCCGGGGCCCAAGCGCCGAGGTGCCCCCGGGGGGGGGGTGCACGCCCATGCATGCCAGCCTCGTCGCAGAACCCTCGCGCCCCCTCCTTCCCCTCTTTCCTGGGACCCTCGCGCCCTCCTCGCCCCCTCCCCTCCTTCCCCTCTCTCCTGGCCCCCTCCTTCCCCGTGGCGCTCTTGCCGTTCTTTGGCTGGCCGGTCCGTGTTTCGGCTTCGGGGCCCAGCATTGGGCAAACGGCGCGCCCAGGGCGCAGCGCCATATGGCCGTTGAAACCGGCTGCCACACGGCAGGCCAGGCCACTGTTGTGACAACTCTCTCTCGCGAGGAAGAGGAGGAAGACGAGGAGGAGGAGGAGGAGGAGGAGGAGGAGGAGGAGGAGAAAGAGGAGGAGGAGGAGTGGAGGAGGAGGAGGAGGAGTGAGGAGGAGGAGGAGGAGGAGGAGGAGGAGCACAAGCGAGGAGGAGGAGGAGGAGGGAGAAGGAGGAGTAACAGAGGAGGAGGAGGAAGACGAGGACGAGGAAGCGAAGAGAGGAGGAGGAGGAGGAGAAGGAGAGGAGGAGGATGAGGAGGTAGGAGAAAGGGGAGCAGGAGGAGGAGGCGGCGGCGGAAGGAGGAGGAGGAGGGGGGCGCGAGGAGGGGAAGGAGGAGGAGGAGGAGGGAGGAGGAGGGCGGGCGGAGGAGGAGGAGGAGGAGTGTCTCGCTGTCTCTCTCTCTCTCTCTTCCTTTTTGTGTGGCGGGGGGAACAGTGTGTTGTGGCAGTTCTCGGTGCCCCGCCCTTGTGGGTTTCCACGCACACAGCAGCACTGCCTTGGACGGGGGGGGGCGCGAGCGAGGTAGCAAGGTTTTAAGTCGGGCCTGTCCTTCTACAGGTGGAATACTCAAACATTGTCAAAACATAGTATGGAGACGATTGTTTGACCATGCTTGGCTAAAATAGGGATATGTTTGGCATTTTCGTCAAACATCCGCCTGCAGGGGGACACGCCCGACTTGAAGCAAGGTTCACACAGTGTTGGATCTTGCGCCTTCCCGGCGGAGCAGCGGGACGCGGCGGCATCGACGATGTCGTCGTTCTCGTGCTCACTGTCTGGCCGATTGGCGCGGGCCCTCGGCCCCCCCCCTCCCCCCCCCCCCCCTGGAGTAGATCTTGGCTGTTTTGGGCGCCTGCTTCGAGCAGGTGTCGCAGGCCCAGAGATTGACACCAACACCAATATCGGCGGTGTGTATCTACCGAGGGAAGAAGATTCCGATCTCGGCGATGGTGGTAATATTTTCTGGCTTCCAGGGTGGCCGAAACAGTGCCACCAACACCGAAATCTGGGATCGCCTTCCCCATGTGGAGGCAACCCCCTGTGTTGGTGTTGGTGCCCAGTTCTAGGCCTCCAAAGGTGGGGTCTCCCCCACAGGGCGCACGGTTCCAAACGGTCGCATTAGGCAGAGGTCTGGAGCCAGACCCCCCTCCCCCTCCTCCCTCCCCCCCTTGCCGCCCAGTGTCGAGACGCCGAGCAAGGAAGCGCTCACGATCGGGGGCACGCAGAGGGGGGAGTATCCTAAGGTGGGATTAGAGAGAGGGCCCAGCTGGATGCTCGCGTTTCCTTCCTCCGGGGCCGGTTTGGAGCGATTTTCCTCCAGCCCCACCCCTGCCCAGACTCCACCTTGCTCCCCCCCCGAGAGCACACGCTGGTTCTAGGTCGATGTCTGCCGTTTGGACCACACGGTTTTATCGATCAACCCCGAGACAGCAGCCATGCTGCGGCTTTTCGGCTGACAGGGATCGCGTGCAGTCGTATCGCAGTGTTCTTCGGCTGTCGCGTGATCGTGGTCATGTTGTGTCGTACGCAGTTGCTCGTGCCGAGGCGGTATGATTCGACGAGATGCCATGGATAGAAGTACGCTCAGTTTCGCGGCCCGCATCTTCTTTCATCAGTCAGCGGCTGGCTGCCCCAAGGCCGTACCAAAGGTCGAGCGAACGTGAGGCTAGAGAGCTAGAGGAGGTGGTCTGCGCTGCAAGCTCAGGAGGGAAAAAACACACAGACACAATGAATCGTCGATTCTCCAGACAATATGGGAAAATATGGGGAGTGGGGAGGGGGAAGACGAAAATCCCCCAAATATGGCAAGATGTGGGGAATCCTGGGGATTGTGTGTATTTATTTGTGTGCCCCTGGGCCCCTTCGCAAGCCACATCTGCTGTCGGCCGGCCAGGGCTCGGAGGACGCACCGAGCCCGCAGTAGGCTCTCCTCCTCCCCTCCGCTCCCCCTCCTCAGCCCTGCCCCTGCTTTCCCCCTTCCCCTCATCCTCCACCCTCCTCCTGCTCCTGCTCCTCCTCCTCCTCCTCCTCCTCCTCCTCCTCCTCCTCCTCCTCATCCCTCTCATCCTCCTCCGCTTCCTCCTCCTCCTCCTTCTTTTCCATCTCCTTCTCCTCCTCCTCCCCTCTTCCTCCACCCTCCTCCTGCTCCTCCTCCCTCCCCGCAGGAAGGAAGTGCGCGACCGGCGCGCGCCGGGACCTCGAGACAGCATGCAGTCGATTTGCGAAGGCGCAGCCCGACCGACGTCCCTCCTCCCACTCCTCCTCCCTCATTTTCTCGCTCATCTCCTCATTCTCCTCCTCCATTCCTTTTCCATTTAACTTCTCCTTGTCGTACCCCGAGGCCAGTTTTTAGGGCGGGCCGGGCGTTTCGCCTGAGATTTCCCCACCACTTATGACCCTGAAGTTTAGAACATGACAACAGTTTCACAGATTGAGGGCAGGTGGTTTTCAAAATGTGGCTCTCGCCTTAGCGCCGCGCACATTCGTTTTAAACATTTGCAAGAGCTTCACGTATTGAGGGCGGGTGGTTTCCAAAATGTGGCTCTCGCTTTAGCGCCGCGCACATTCGTTTTAAACATTTGCCAGAGTGTCACGGATCGAGGGCGGATGGTTTTCAAAATGTGGTTATCGCTGTACTTTTCAAAATGTGGCTCTCGCCTTAGCGCCGCGCGCATCCGTTTTAACAATTGCAAAAGTTTCACGGACTGAAGGCGGGTGGTTTTCAAACTGTGGCTCTCGCCTAAGCGCCACGCACATTCGTTTAAGGAAATTGCAAGAGTTTTACGGTGAGGGCGGTTCCTTTCCAAAATGTGGTTCTCGCTTCAGCGCCGCGCATATTCGTTTTAAGCATTCCATGATCAACGCACCGGAAATGATGTTTTGGAAGGGTTCCAGATCGTCAGGGCGCAGCAGTCTGGTTGATCCGTGGCGTGGAAATCCCGAGAACAATTCTTTGGTATGCTTCAAGGTCTTCAAACGGTTGTCTTCCATCGAGGCAGTTCCCTCAATGGAAATGAACCGCTGTACGGACTGTAGGGGCCTATGAAGAGGGAGCTTGGAGGGAGGGCTAACTCCAACATCGTTGATGACTCTTGGGTTTACACTGGTCCGCCTCCTTTTCCTCGTCCCCCTCCTCCTCCTTCTCCTCCTCCTCCCTCTTCTACGAGTGTACATCTCAGATTCATCCTTCGGGTCCTCCTCCTCCTCCTCCTCCTCCTCCTCCTGGCTCCCCTGCTCCTCCCTCGATCCTCGCTCCTCCTGCTGCTCCTCCTCCTCCTCCTCCTCCTCCCCTCATCCTCCTCCTCCTCCTCCTATCTCCCTCCTCCTCCTCCTCCTCCTCCTCCTCCTCCTCCTCCTCCTCCTCCTCCTCCTCCTCCTCCTCCTCCTCCTCATCCTCCCTCTTCCTCTGCCTCCCGGCTCCCCAGGCCCCTCCGCGCGTGTGCGGGTGGCCGCAGGCTGCGGCGCTGAAGGTGTACCCCGAACGTTGCGTCGTCGAGGAGGGGGGGCGGGCATCGGGCAGGCCACGCAGTCGGGCTTGCAGGCCGTCTCCTCCTCCCCTCTCGTGCCACCTCTTTTGCTCGTCGTCGCCATCATCTCCATCCTCCTTTTCTTCCTCGTCATCGTCCTCCACATCATCCTTCTGATCCTCCTCCTCCTCCCTCTCGCACTGTCCCTCTCTATCTCTCTTTCCTCTCTCTCTATGTCTCTCTCTCTCTCTCTCTATATATATATATGCATCTCTATATTCGTCCTTTGTTTTCTGTTTCTTTCTCTCGCTCTCTCTCTCTCTCTCTCTCGCTGTCTCTTTCGCTCCCCCTCCCTCTCTCGCTCTCTCTCTCTCTCTCTCTTTCTCTCTCACTCTCTCTCCCTCTCTCTCTCTCTCTCTCCCCCCCTTCCTCTGTCTCTCTCTCCTTCGTCATCATCCACTTCCTTACTCATGCCCTCCCCTGTCGTGTTCGTCAGACGTGTTGTTAGGGTAGGCCAGGCCTGTCGCCTGGTAGGTCCTCGTCGATTGCGGCACTGCTGCTTGAAGTACAAACGGCTACACGCATGGAGGGCGGCTCATTCTCGTGATGGAGCTCTCGCCCTGGCGCCGCGCACGCACGGCTATGAAAAGCCTGCCTCGGCACTGAAGCCTTAACGTTCACGGAGGGCGGGTCGTTCTCACGACGGAGCTCTC